TTTTTTTTTTTTCAGTGTACCCTCTCTACGCTCCCAACTCTGGTAACCAACAAAGAAACTTTCTTCCATATATAAACTTTCCTTGACTTTTTACAATAATGAACTAATACAATATTTGTCCTTCTGTGATTGACTTATTTCACTCAGCATAATGTCCTCCAAGTTCATCCATATTATGTGGTGTTTTGCAGACTCTACATTATTCTTTAGTGCAGCATAGCATTCCATTATGTGTATGTACCATAGTTTGGTCATCCACTCTTCTGCTGTAAATCTTAGAGATAAGTCCCTTGCCGGATACTTAATTATCGGCAAATATGAATTTGTTGCTATCATTTTTGTTATGTGCTTTTTCATGGTGTTGGTTTCTTTTTTCCATATGATTTTCTATGCTGAGCTCGTTTTGTTTATGAATTGTGTATTCACTTCCTTCATTGCTGTTGTTTTAGTATATGCTGAATATTTATGCTGGTCCTCTTTTTTGATGTGAAGGTTTATCATTTTTCTTTGAGATTACCCTGTGATTTATAGTTTTCTTTCCAAGTTTAGAATAGTCCATTCTATTTTGTCGTCGTCTTCACTTCTCTATCATCTAGAAGTTCTGTAATGACACAGTTTTTTCCCTCTTTTTGGTTTGTTGTTGTCCTCATTTGTCGATTGATGTCTCTGGTTCTCTGTTTACAATCTTACAGGTTTATTTACTTTAGATACTTCCATAGCTGGGTTGATTTCTGAGTTATATCATCATGTGTGTTAATGGTCAGTTGTTGTTTGCTGTTGTTGCTTCTCTGTCCAAAGGACTCCCTTTAGCATCTCTTGTAAGGTTAGTCCAGTTTTAACAAATTCCTTTAATTTCTCCTTACCTGGAAATGTCCTAAGTTCACCATCATATTTAAGGGACGATTTTGCTGGGTACATAATTCTTGGTTGGAGATTTTTCTCTTTTCAGGTTTTATATATATCATCCCATTGTCTTCTTGCCTACATGGATTCTGTCAAGAAATCTGAGCTTAGTCTTATTGGCTGCCCCTTGTAGGTACTTTTCGTTTTTCCCATGTTACTCTCATGATTCTTTCTTTGTCTTTAGTTTTGGTAAGTTTGATGATGATATGTCTTGGTGATTTTCTTTTGGGTTCTATTCTATTTGGGGTTTGTTGGACGTCCTGAATGGATATATTCTCATTTTTCATCGTACCAGGAAAATTCTCTTCCAACAAATCTTCGACAGTTTTCTCTGTGGTTTGTCTCTTCCTATTCTGAAATTCCAATTACATGTAGGGTATTCCTTTTGATGGTATCCCACATGACCCTTAGGCTTTCTTAATTTTGTTTTGATCTTTTTTCTGATTTATTGCTATCCAAAGAAGTGTTCAGGTATTCTCTTTCAATCTCCCTAATTCTGTCTTCCATTGATTCATTTCTGCTCCTTTGCCCATTCAATGTCCTATCTGTTTCTGAAAATTTAGTATTAATCTTCTGGATTTCTGTGTAGATTTTGTATCATTTCTCATTTTTCATTTATTTTGTCATTTTGTTCTTATATTGTCTTTTGAAATTGTTCTAGGGTTTTCTCTGTTTTCCTTGATCTGTCTCTCAATTCGTTGAAGATACCTAAATATAATTCTTTTGAATTCCTTATCAGAGACTTCCAATGCTGTGTCTTCCTCAGGGATGTGTTTTGGGTCAGTATCCTGGTCCCTTGTTTCTCTTGCTTTATCTTGCTTCTTTGTGTGGACTGTGATGCCCTGTTGTCTCCAAGGCATTGTGATGTTTTTTGTGTTTATATTTAATTGGTGATTGTATCTTAGAGTGACTTGCCCATGATTTTTGTTTTCTTTGTTTTGTTTGTATGTTATCTACACAAGCAGAGTACTGTGCTCCTCTGTTCGCTAATTGACAGCACTTATACACTTACCACCTGTCTCCTTTCCTGTTGTCAGCCTCTCATGTGTCCCTGCCGACCTTGGCCAACAGAGCCTATTCTTAGGTCCCTGGAACCTGAATGAGAATGCTATCACTTTAAAATCCATAATGTTTGCCACTTGTAAAGATTCAAAATGGCTGCACCCTCGGTCACTTTAACTATCCAAAATGGCTGCTGCTTGTAAACATTCAAAATGGCTGTGCCCTTGGTCACTTTAAATATTCAAAATGGCTGCACCCTCTGGACAGCAGAAAGTCACCAGCTCAGGTTGTCTACCTCCTTGTTGTTTCCCTTCCTAGTCATAGGCCACCAGTGCAGTCGTTCCTATAGCCCTTGGTGACCAGGGCTGATCTTTTTTGGTCAATTCTTGATGTCCCAACACTACTTGGAAATATTCAGGCTGTTGGTCCCATCAGCATAGCTGACAGTCTGCAGATCCTACTGTCTCTGTACTCACTGTTTTCATTCAGGTTTTTCCACTAGTTGGTATCCACTTCTGTATAGTTCTTTTCAAAGCTTAGGGCTCCAGATTATCTTCTGTATCCCTGTCCATTGGTTTTTCTTTTCTTTGTTGAAGAGGGTCTATGTCGCTTGTCTGCCTATTCCTCCATCTTACCAGAAGTCCATGTTGAAAATTTTTGTATATATATGCCTCAAAGATATGGATCTGTAATTTTCTTTTTTTATGATTATGTTTGCCTGGTTTAAGTGTCAGGGTTATGCTGGCTTCATAGAGACTGAATGTTTGGTAAAATTCCCCCATATTATTTTTTAAAGTGGTTTTACCAATTTCTATACTCTTCAGAAAATGTAATTGGTAAGGAAGTGGCTCACTAGGAAGCCTTACATTTAAAGAAGAGAGCCAAAATATAGCTATTTCTAGTTGAGTGAAAAAGTAATGAAACTAGACTAAGTTTATACATGTAAGTATCAGAGGCCGTATCATTTATGAAAGGAGCCTGATCGTACAATGGTTTAGCATTCAGGTGCTAACCAAAAGGTCAGTGGTGTAAACCCAGCAGCTCCACAAGAGAAAAGACCTGGCAGTCTGCTCCCATAAACATTACAACCTCGGAAGCCCTGTGAGGCAATTCTGCTCTGTCCAATAGAGTCAACTGTGAATTGGAATTGACTTGATGGTATACAGTCACATCATGTATGATATTTATTCTGTACATTGAATTATTATTTTGTAGACAATATATAGCTATCACACAGAGCTCTGGTGGCAAGTTGCCTAAGACGTTTAACTAACCAGAAGGTTGGTGGTTGTAAACCCACCAGGTGCTCCTTGGAAAGAAGCTGGGGCAGTCTGCTTCCCTATCTTTTCAAAGTCTACTTCTGTAAAGATTTGTTCACCTCAGAAACCCAATGAGGGTCACTATGAGTCAGAGGTGACTGGATGGCAGTGAGTTTGGTTTTGGTAATAGCTATCACGTGATTGTAGAATTGATGTTACTTATAGGACTGTTTACTTATGTTTTATTGACTATTCAAAAGCATTGGACTATGTGAATCATAACTAATTGTAGACAGCATTGAGAGGAATGGTAATTTCAGAACACTTAATTGTGCTTATCTACATAGACCAGGAGGCCGTCATTTGATCAGAACGAGGGGATACTGCATAGTTTAAAATCAGTCAGGGAGTGTGTCAGGGTTGTATCCTTTCACCATACTTGTTCAATCTGTATACTGAGCAAATAATGCAAGAAGCTGGACTACATGAAGAAGAATAGGGCATCAAGATTGGAAGAAGACTCATTAACAGCCTGCAATAACCAAATGACACAAGATGACTTAAGCACTTACTGATGAATATTGAAGACTGCAGTCCGCAGTGGATTACACTTCAACATTAAAGAAAATGAAAATCCTAACAACTGGACCAATAAGCAGCATCACAATAAATGGAAAAAAGATTGAAGTTGTCAAAGATTTCATATAACTTGGTTCCACAATCAACGCCAATGGAAGCAGCAGTCAAGAAATCAGATGATGTATTGCACTGGGCAGATCGCTGCCAAAGACCTCTTTAAAGTGCTGAAGAGCAAAGATTTTTCTTTGAAGACTAAGGTACTCCTAACCCAAACTATGTTATTTTCAATAGGCTCATGTGAAATCTAGACAGTAAATAAAGAAGACCGAAGAAGAGTTGATGCTATTGAGTTGTGATGTTGGCAAAGAATACTGAAAGTACCATGGATTGCCAGAAGAATGAACAAATCGGTTCTGGAAGAAGTGCAGCCATAATGCTCCTTGGAAGCAAGAACGGCCAGACTTCATCACACCTACTTTGGTCATGTTGTCAGAAGGGACCATTCCCTGAAAAAGGATATCATGTTGGTAAAGTGGAGGGTCAGCGAAAAAGGGGAAGGCCCTCAACAAGAAGGATCGACACAGTGGCTGCAACGATGGGCTCAAGTATAGCAACTATCGTGGGGCTGGCACAGGACCTAGGGTTAGGTTACCATGAGTCAGAGGCGACTCGATGGCACCTCACAACACAATTACAAATGGGACCGAATATATATTTATAAATGCATGATTTATAGGTTAGACCTTGAGGTAGACAAATCTGAGTTCTAATCCTCACTCTGTCACTTAACTAATTTTATAATCTTGAAATAAGTGGATCCTGCTCTTCCACTTCCTTAACACTTAGTATTGGAATTTTTACCCCAAAACTGTCTGGTTAAATGGTGATCTTAATTTGTTTGTTTGTGATTATTAATGAGTTGAACTTCAGATAAAACCACTGAAAAACCTTTAGGAATTGATTTGGAGAGAGGGGGAGGAAATAATCTGTTGTATTCTAAAACAGGCCTGTCACTTGGTGTATATTTTATCATACAGCCTTGCCATATATAGAAGATTGTTATTATGCATTTCTCATTCAAATAATTGACAGTTACAAATTTATTTTCTATCGTAGGTCTAAATAGTACTGTTTTTAAAATATAAATGCTTCATTCTGTGACCTTCATTAGTTTTTTCTTTCAAAGTCTATAGTGTATGACTTCACAAGCTTCAAATAGTATGTTCTCATTAAAAGAGGTGATTTTGTGACAAACAGGAGTATGACATTTGAAGAAGGAAGCCAGAGTACAACTATTTCTAGTTTGAGTGAAAAAAGTAAAGAAGAAACTGGAATAAGTTTACAGGTAAATATTAGAGACCCAGTTGTTTAAGATAATAAATACTGTTGTTTAATACTATGTCAATGTCATTTGATTTTAAAACTGAAGTTACATATTTGATAAGAGTGTCATACATATAAATGCATGCATGGTTTGAAGGTAGACCTTGGAGTAGACAGTCCTGAGTTCTAATCTCGACTCTGCCTCTTAGTTGTATAACCTTGCACAAATTAACTGCATCTTTCCAACCTCGAGTTCCTTCATCTGAAAGGTGGAAGTAAAACCAACTATCTCATAGGTTGAGATTATACTGTATTTTTCTGCCATAGCACCCTGTTCATTTTCTTTATAGTACTTGTAATTTATAATTAAATAATTGTTTACCCGTTTACTATCTGTCGCACCTCAGGACAGGTCACTTCTGCTAGAAATTTCTTAGTATCTAATCTCAAAAAAGGATTGAAAGCATAGCGAGGATTATGAAGATGGCTTAGAACTGTGCAGTGTTTGGTTCTGTACATAGGGTCACTATTGAGTTGAAGCCACCTAACAACAACAGTCTCAAATTGGCCTACACAATATCTGGCATTCTTACCAAATTCCTTTAGTTATCTCATTCCTCTACAGTAACAATTTCAGCTTCTTCGCTATACTTAAACTTCTGAACATTTTCTCTGCCTTTGCTTTCAGCTTGCCTCCTACTTCTTGGAGAGGATAGAAACTATAAGATAGGAAGTTATACCATGTCGCACTGTCATACAGAAATGTCCCTGCATCTGCTGCCATTCTAACTTGATTCCCTTTTGTTAAAAGTAGGAAAGACGTTTCTCCTTACATCTAAGGCTAGTCTTTCCTGTGCTTTGTTTTTATCTACTCTTTCTCCTAAACATTTTTTATTATGTCATACTCCCTCTCATGTATATTCTTCCAAACATCTCCCATTAAAAACATTCCTCTTCTCACAAAATTCTTTCACTCTTCCCTATGCCTGCTCTTGGGTGTCAGCCTCTCTCTTCCCTCTCTTCATAGCCAAAGCTCATGAAAGTGTAGTTTATATTTGCAGTCTCCATTTTCTCTCCTACTCCCACCCCTGAAATAGCTCTTGCTAATGACACCATCTCTAAACTTCATGTTGCTAAGTCTGGTGTTCTCCTGTCGTTCCTCTTCCTAACATTTCGTTAACACTCAACACCAGTGATCATGCCTTTCTTGAAATATGTCCTATTTACCTTTGATCCCACTCTCCTGAGATTCCTACTTCTCTTTTTAGCTTTTTGTAGTCTTCCTTTATAAACTGACTTTTTGGAGGATCTTCTCCAGTAGTCACTATACTAGGCTTAGATATGGATGTTCCAACCTTGAGGGCTTGATTTCACAGATAGAAACATTTTAATTAGAATTATAGTATGCCAGTATCAATGAATTGTATGTATAAACTATTTCTAAAATAGCCAAGCACATTAAGACAGTTAAATTGCTTGATCGATTTTCTGTGGAATACCATTTTTAATTTTTTTTTACTTTCCTTTTTTATTATTTTTATTTTATGGAAATTATTTTAAACAGAATTTTTTCTTGGGTAAATTTTTTAAATAATTTGAGTCATCAAGCCCAACTACTCCTTTATCCATATCACATTTTACTAATTATAACATAACACAATTTTGAGTTTTCTGATGATCTTTATTTCTACCAAATTCAGTTTTTCAGTCTGAGTTTGTAGATCTTCATCTTCTCTTTTGCAGTTTTAGCTGTGGCCAGGATAGTTTTTATTTTTTTAGTGATTATTTTGCATGTGATAAGAACCTGATGTTGTTGTTGTGTGCCGTCAAGTCAGACTCGACTCAGCGACCCCTCCTTCGGTTTCCAAGGCAGTATCACTACGGAAGTAGATTGCCCCATCTTCCTTCCGAGGAGTGGCTGGTGGGTTTGAACTGCCAGCCTTCTGGTTAGCAGTCAAGTGCTTAGCCACTGTGCTACCAGAGCTCCTAAGATAGGCTGGTGTTTATCTCTTACCTAGTTCATGAAATTGTGAGCCATTCCTCACAGGTAGGCCATAATCAGTCTCTTGCCTGGGTTCAGTCTGTTTAGGTTGCTGCTGATGCAGTTCTTTAGAATACATTTCAATATTATCTTCTACTTCTATAACTTAACATTTAGAGTTAGGAGTTATATATTGGTAGTTACAGCATTTCAAGTTTGTTGAAGATTATAAAATGTTGTATTATCCCCTCCAATTTTTGTTGTTTCTGTGTTTCAGGATCTTCTCTTAGAAATCTATAGAAGCATAGGAGAGCCGGATAGCCTGTATGGTTGTGGTGGAGGGAAAATGTTACAACCGCTTACTAGGTAAATTACATCTTTCAAGATAATGATTTAGTAATTCTTTATATGAGGGATTTCTTTATATGGGGGAATTAATGCATATAGAACTCAAAGATATTTTTTACATCTTCTAGAATACGAACATATGAACATGAAGCAATGTGGGGGAAAGCCCTAGTAACATACGACCTTGAGACAGCAATCACTTCTTCCACCCGCCAAGCAGGAATAATTCAGGTACCTTTTTTCCCTGCTTTTGTAAAGTCATTATTAGTATGCTGCTGAGATTGTTTCAGTTTGTCAGTGGAATATTTACACAGCCAGATAATCCCTAGGGAAGACACTAGGAGTAACCTGCTTTTTAGGCATTGGCTCAGCAAGATGCACAAGAAAGTTGGACAGGATATTGGCCTAAGAGAGGTTATAGATTTGTTGATCACAATCTTATTAGCTAACAGTAGATGACAGTTCTTTAATTTACAGTATATCAAGTATGTGCCGAGTGCTTCCCCTGGAAAGTTTAGTTCTGTTTTTTGTAGTTTGCATTCAGTTACTTTGTATGTTTGGTTGCTGGTTTTCATTTCTTTAGTTTTCTTTTAATATTTTTTGATAACTTACCTTGTTTATCAATTTTAAAAAATTTTTAATTTATTTTGTTGTTGAGAATATACACAGCAAAACATACACCAGTTTCTGTTGAAACTGTTGTAAACATTCAACAGTTTCTTCATGTATAATTTAGTGACATTGATTACATTCTTCGAGTTGTGTAATCATTCTTACCTTCCTTGTCTTTTTATTTATTTATTTATTTAACTTTTTATTGTGATTTGGGGGAGCTCTGGTAGCATAGTGCCTAAGGCACTTGACTGCTAACCAGAAGGCTGGCGGTTCAAACCCACCAGCCAGTCCTCAGAAGGAAGATGGGGCAATCTACTTCCATAGTGATACTGCCTTGGAAACCCAAGGAGAGGTCACTGTGAGTTGGATCCGACTCGATGGCACATAACAACAACAACATTGTGATTTGGGTGAAAGTTTCAGAGCAAATTCATTTTCTGTTTAATAATTCATGTACGTTTCATGACAATGAATGCAGTCCCCATAGTGTAACAGCACTCTTCCCACTTCTTCCTTGTGTTTATCATTTCCATTCGACCTTCTTTCCTATCCCTTCCTGCCCGCTGAGCTTTATCCATAGGCAAATGCTGACCTTTTCATCTCCTGTGGTTGATTGTTCTAAGGATTGCATACCTCCCTAGTATAATTGTTCACTTTGTAGGCCTGTCTATTGTTGGCTAAAAGTTGAGCTATGGGGGTAAATTTACTTCCAGGCCTGAAAGGTGTTTAAAGGCCATACTCTTGAGGGTTCTATCAGTTTCTATCAGAGCAGTAAGCCTGGTATTCTTTTTGATTCTGAGTTTTGTTCTACATCTTTCTTCCATTCTGTCTAGAATCTTCTAATGCAGTCCCTTTCAGAGTGGTCAGCAGTGGTAGCCAGGCACTGTCTAGTTTTCTGGTCTCAGAGTCATGGATGCTGGAGGTCACATGGTCCGTTAGTCCTTTGAACCAACCTTTTTTTTTTCAACTTCTGCTCAGGCCTTGCAGAATTTGGGACTCTGCCATGTTCTTTCCACCTATTTAAAAGGATTAGATCATGAAAACAAAGAGTGGTGTGATGAACTACAGGAACTTCATTACCAAGCAGCATGGAGGAATATGCAGTGGGACCACTGCAATTCTGTCAAGTAAGAAAAAAATCTGAAATTTGTTTCGTGGCCCCTTTCTTCCCTAGTTGTACATGATAAACTTTTTATCTTGTTCCATGAATGCCACAGGTACCGTGTTTTTATCTATTATAGATGCTGCAAGGCACAGATAAGGCTAAAAGCACAGCAATAAGCAGTTGACACACCTCAACTTCAATTTCACACTCTTCCTCCATTAGGGAAACTCTACTCTACCCCCAAGATATTTTTGAAAATAGAAACATAAAAGGTACTCTCCTTATGGGAATGGTCTCATTTACTGTTTGTTGGACTGAAGAATCCAAAGAAAAGTATAGGCATTGCCCTTTCCACTCCCTGATGCAAATATTTTAGTTAGAGTGAACTTTATTGGTTGATGGTACATAAAGGATTGCTTATCTTTATTTATTAAATAACTTCTCTTAAAAATAAAAATAAAAAGGTGACACAGGAAGATAATGTGTAAGGTCCCCAAATTTTCTGAATGAAAAGCCAAACACCTAGTCTAACAAAGGATTTCATATTTATGTAAAGTTTTTGGGTGGTATAAACACTAAAAAATTAAATCATATTTAATTGTATGCTTAATTACCTTATAGGAAAAAATTCTTGTTAATCAGAATATTGTTCAGATTTCAAACTATTAAATTGCAGTAAGTTAGAGATACTCTCTTAGATTTATAAAACATTTTACTCTATGAGCTGCTTCCTGCTTACCTCTGTAAGTCATAATATACCATTCTTCTGTTTGCCTGCTATGTTTCAGCTATACAGGCCTTCGCTCTGATTTTTTAATTAGGCCAAACTATTCCTAACTAAAGGCCTTACATGTATCCTCTACTTTTTTGTCCAGTTACTATGTGGTTGACTCTTAGTCATTCAAGCTAAAGTTTAAAAATGTCATTATTCAGAGAGACTCTTCCTGATCTCTCATTCTAAAATAGCCACCCAATTGTTCTGTTTTGTTATCCTCTTTTAATTCTCTGCATGTTCATTGTTTTAATCTGATACATTTTTTTCCATTCATTGTTCATCTTATCCAAACCAGAAGATAAACTCAGTGAGTGGGGACCTGATCAATTTGTCAACTAATGGATCCCCTTAATCTTGCACCTTATTCATAGTACCTGGCATACAGTAGGTGTCCATTGAATAAATAAATAAGAATATACCATATTTAGGACCAATCAAAACATCTGAGAAATTTCCTTGTTTTCTGCTTCCAGAATTTATGACCCACAAAATTCTTTTGAATTTCTTACCAGTGTTTCTAGAAATATGTTTTAAAAAATGGAGATATCTTAATTTTAGTTTACATTTTGGTATGTATATATGTATATGTTAGGATTCTCTGTTTTTCAATACTTTTTTAAAAATTATTTCACAGCAAAAGAATAGAAAGAACCAGTTACCACGAATCATTGTATAATGCTCTGCAATCTCTAAGAGACAGAGAGTTTTCCACGTTTTATGAAAGTCTCAAATATGCCAGGTACTGTAAAATGTCAAAGTACAATGTATTTTAGCATCTGATGTTGAGTTTTCTTTTCATAAAACTTGATGAACAATTTTAGCATAAAAATTTGCATTGAAGAGGAATGCAAAAAAAATGCCATTTGGGACTTAAAGTCAATTTTCCAACCTTGAGTTCTCAAAAAAGTCTTGAGGATCCTCACTCCTCCATTCTACTTGGGCCAGTATCCTGAGAATTTTCATCTTGTCTCCTCTATTTAAAAGTTGTATGACATTTACTTCTCTTAACATTAGTGTTCTAATCTATAAAATGGTGGCTCATCATCAGTACATAAGAGGCTCATTCTGAGGTACAAATGAATAATATGTAAGGAAATACTTAACTATAAATGGTTAATCAAATGGAACTTTTTTGTTTGTTTATTTATCAGTAGGTCCTGACCTAATAAATCCTATACTTTGTTGCTGAAACAATGTTTGCTACCATTCAGGTGTTTATTATGTGCTAGCCATAGCTTAGTGCCTAAGGCATTTGACTGCTAGCAAGAAGGCTGGCGGTTCAAACCCACCAGCCACTCCTCGGAAGGAAGGTTGGGCAATCTACTTCCATAGTGATACTGCCTCGAAAATCCAAAGAGGGGCCACTATGAGTCAGGTCCAACTCCACGGCACATAACAACAACAATAACAAACCACTCTTAAGTTCTTCCCTTATGTATTTGCTGATCTTCAAAATAACTCTGAAAGTGAAAAAACTTAGGCCCAGAGAAATCTAGTAATGTGCTCAAAGTTAAACAGCCAGTAAATGGCAGAACTGGAATTTAGATCTAGGTCTGTATGACTCCAAAGCCTGTTTTGTTTCTATTGATTTATACTAAGGTTTGTGAATGTTAGGTGTTTTTAGATCAACAGCAAAGCCTAAAATGACTGCTTTTTAAGAACAAATTTGAACTTTGATCTCCCTGAAAATCTTTTCTTTGCTTTCATTGCCTTTTCTGCCACTAGAGTAAAAGAAGTAGAAGAATTGTGTAAGGGCAGCTTTGAGTCTGTGTATTCACTCTACCCTGCCCTTAGCAGATTGCAAGCCATTGGAGAGCTGGAAAACATTGGGGAGCTTTTCTCAAGGTGTGTGACCTATACAACTTTATAATCCTAAAGTGCACCTTTCCTCTTGTGATAGTAACTTGAAAAACTATGTAGAAACCATCTATCACTTCTTCAATCAAAAAAAAGTTGATTAGCTTAGTGATCTGTGCTCTTTTTCTGTAAAAGAAACATTTTTAAAAAAGTTAATTATAAAAATGTGTTTCTAAAGTTCAGCTTCATTGCACCTTTTTTCATGTCCTACCCTCATGTTTTATGCCATAGCACATTGTACCCCATTGTGTTTTCCATATTGCATTTATGTTATATTATGTATATTCTTCCATGCTTAACCAAAAATTCCCTAAAAATTAGGCTCATTCTCTTGTTATATCATTGTATTCCCGTTACTTTTCCTGATGACTGATAGGTAAGTGTTTTAACGCATTCAGTGTGTGTTTATTAAGTGAGTATCCGTGAATTTGGAGTAGATGTTTAGGGGAGATTGCCTGTTTTAAAGGTGGAAGAAAGAGATCCCGTGATAAAGGAAAATGAGTCAGAACAGTAATTCAGTTAAGTTATGGATCTAAGTTCTCACTTTCTGAGTTTGAGAAAAGTCACTTCAAGTTTTGGGGCCTCATTTTCTTCATTTCTAAAATGAGAGATTTATATTTAAAGATTTCTAGGGACCCTTTTATTTCTGCTATTCTGAGTCACTATTAGTATAAGAGAAAGAAAAGGATATAAATTACTCAGAACACCATACCTTTATACAAAAATAAATCTTGGTGTATGCTTTGGAAGTAAGAAGGTGAAAGAAGTTTTGGAGTCAGAAATTTGGTGGGGTTTTTTTTTTCAAAATTATATAATAGAAGACAAGCCATTGATGTGTTTTCCACTTTCATTGATAATTGCATTGGCAGTTCTTACTACCAGAAATCCAGGAATTTTTCCTTTGAAAAAAGATTTCATACAAAAAGTGATAGAATTCCTCAAGAAATCCCTAAAGACTAAAAATGTCAGCTCTTTCTTGAGTGGGGAAATAATACGGAAGAGAAGCAGAGGGAAAGTTTGATGAACTGGTAAACAAATGCTTATATTCTAGGGCAGCACTTCTCAAAGTTCTCTCTTGGGATTTCTGGGTAGTGGGGAAGGCCAAGATCCATTCAGAGGGCCCATGAAATTATCTTTATAATTCTAAGATGTTACTTTTTTTTAAACCTCTTATCGGGTACAATGGAGTTTTGGTGACGTGTCAGAGAAGAATATTTATAATTATTTGAAAAGGCTATAAGTTCCTCCTATTTCCAGCAACATATCTGTGTGAGGCTAGACTTTCTTAATATATTTCAACCAGATCATCCTTTCACAGATCATCCTTTCACAGCAGACTGAACGCAGAGCAGAGATGAGAATCTAGCTAGTTTCTGTTAAGCCAGACTTTAAAGAGATTTGCAAATATATAAAACAATGCCATTCTTCACACTGAATTTTATTTTGCTTGGGGAAATATGGTTATTTTTTGTAAAAGATGTTATTTGTGATATATATAGCAGATTTATTATGTTTTTAAATGAATTAGTAAATCTTAAGTTTTTCTTTTAATTTCTAATATGCCAGATCACAACAGTTCTTTAGGATATTCAACACTTTTTAAGAGTGTAAAACATTCATCAAACTAAAAAGTTTAAGAATGCCTGCTGTCGGATCATTTGTGGAGGAATTAATGCTTTTTTCTTAAGAATTTGTGTTACTGGTTCCTCTCTGTCAAGAAATTAAAAGTGCTTTGGTTTCCTTTTTTAGTCGTTACTTTCTTATCTTCTTCAGTTTCCTTGCTTCTTGATTTCTCTCAACACAGTAGTCCTGAAAGGTTTGATAGTATTGCTTGCTTAGTAAATGGTTAGTTTGAATATCAGAGAGGCATACTATTCATATAATTAATTGTACAATATGCATTTTCTCTTCCTTTAGTAAATAATGTTGGTAAAATTAAACCTTTCCCAGTTGCCAGCTTTTCCTTCACTGGATTATCATTTCTTTGACACTGCAATTATGCAGAGTCTTCCTGTGTGCCTGATGGGCACAGGTAATTAATGAGTTCTTCTTTTTTTTTTTTTTTTGCCAACATGTCCTCTCTAACATAGGAACTTTAAAGCAGGACTAGGGGTAAGGGTTGTAGGCATCCTTTATGATAGGCCTGTCTTGTAAAAATGTATTCTTACTTTAGAAGAAAACTTACTTAGGAGAGCTGCTTTTTATAAAATCAAAGAGTATTTTAAGGAAATCTTCAAAATGTTCATTGTCCATGGCCTTTTACTGATTCTCAGAGGTCAGACCACGTAACACATAGCATTTTGTAGTTTTGTAGTTTTCTAAAATTTGGTCCATATTAGTGTCCAGTCTTGTTACTTTAAAAATTCCTTTGTATTGTATTTTAAGTTTAAAAATCCACATGATAGCATTATTATTTTATTTTTCGTTTTTCTTGCTCACGTGAACTTATGACTTGGCTTTCAGATCAATCACGGATAGGCAACTCTCTGAAGTATATGTTAAATGGCAGAAACACTCCCAGCTTCTCAAGGATAGTGATTTTAGTTTTCAGGAGCCTATCATGGCTCTGCGCACAGTCATTTTGGAGATGCTGATGGAAAAGGAAATGGAAAACTCTCAAAGAGAATTTTTTAAAGATATTCTCACCAAGCACCTTGTAGAACTCTCTGTACTGGCCCGAACTTTCAAGAACACTCAGGTACTAGGATTTAAAACTATGTCATCTCACTTCTTGACTTTACTTTTTTCATTCAGAAAACAGAAAGCATGAGTTAAAAAGAAATTCCACTGAGAGGCAAAGATCACCATTAAAATATTGTATAACGTAATTGTTTAAGGTTTCCTGTTTTAGAGTTAAGACAGACAAGGGCTTAAGCCTTGGCCAAAGTAAAATGAGAAGATACCTAACTGAACTATACTGATAATAATTCAGCGATACTACATAGTGTGCATGTGTGAGACAGATAGACAGACATAAGGGTTGGGGTTGGAAGGCAGGCAGAGAGGTACTTAACATAGTTCCTGAAAAATAGTAAGTGCTTAGGGAACAGTAGTTAGTAGTATTTTCATTATTTTTCATAGTAGTGATAGTAATACTATTTACTCCCATATGTCATTTTCATTTTAGCTCCCTGAAAGGGCAATATTTCAAATTAAACAGTATACTTCATCTAGCTGTGGAGTCTCTGAGTGGCAGCTGGAGGAAGCACAAGTATTCTGGGCGAAAAAGGAACAGAGTCTTGCCCTGAGTATTCTCAAGCAAATGATCAAGAAGTTGGATGCCAGTTGTACTGAGGTTACCTTTTTAATTGACTAAGTTTGTGTTTCACTGCTGTAGAGAAATATTTCTATGCTTCTGCATATTAAAGGCTTGGAATTTCTGATCCATGGACAAGGTGTAAAAAGGAGTCTTGAAAATTAATATTTATAAAAAAAAAAAGTTTAGAAAGCACCCATTTTCCTATTCACAGCAATATGTCTGTCTTGTGGAAGATTTGTTTAATTTATCCCAATGTTCAGCATTTAAAATTTTCTGTAGAATTCAAGGACAGTACGTGGGAAACATAAAATATAAAACAGCTGCTATAAATTTGGCATGGCAAAGAAAAAAAATGGAAGAGTAAGTACATGAGCAGGAGCTCTGGTAGCATAGTGCCTAAGGCATTTGACTGCTAACCAGAAGGCTGGCAGTTCAAACCCACCAGCCACTCCTCAGAAGAAAGGTTGGGCAGTCTACTTCCGTAGTGATACCGCCTCGGAAACCCAAGGAGGGGTCGCTATGAGTAGGATCCAAGTCGACAGAAGTGAGTTTGGTTTGGTTTTTGAAGTACTTTAGAGGACAAAAGTTAAAAAAAGGAAGAAAGGGTAATTAGATTGTCAAGCCTTTGAAAATGTCATGTTAAATAGTTTCCCTAATATTACCTATTAGTTATTACAAACATTTATAGCCACTTTAGTTCTGTCACCAGCATACAATGGACAAAGTAGTGGCATTTTCAGGCATAATGGCACGTCCAAAGGTTTGGCCGCCATGGTATTCCTCTTACTTACACCTGTTTGGTGAATATCAGATTACTTTACTTCTGCATTTTGGGCATTTGCCTGACTTACTTTATTAAAGAATTCTTCATTATACCAAACCACTTAGAGCCAATGGGATATGATGCTTAAGTATTGCTTAACAGCATAGACCCTGGGATCAAGCTGACTAGAGTTACCTGTCTTCTTTGTACCTAAGTTTACTAATCTGTGACTTGGGGATGACAGTGTAGTCATTTCATAGAGTTCTTGTTAGGATTAAATGAGTCAATGTGCATAAAGTCATTAGAAAGATCTTGGTATATATAAGTACTCAATAAATGTAAGCAGCTCCAATAATAATAACAACAATAAAAGATGATTATTTCATAAACTTGCACACTTGGAAAAATTTAAGTAGTTATATGGTGAGAGCAGATGACGAGAAAACATTTTTAACCTGCTTTTTTCCTACTTTAAGGACATTTTTGTATAGCAATGATAATGAATTATATTTTAAAATTTTACTTCTCTTATACAGAATGAAACCACCCTAAAACTGCTGTACACAGAATGTTTGAGGGTTTGTGGTAATTGGTTAGCAGAAACTTGCTTAGAAAACCCTGCAGTCATCATGCAGACTTACCTAGAAAAGGTAAGATTTTGGAGCAGCCTTTGAGATAGTTGTTTAGTATGAATATACTTGATCTTTACCTAACACTAACTGTATTTCAAAAGCAAATAAAAGTATGGTTTCATTTGCCAAATACTATTTGAATGAATGAAATAGAATGCTACTAAAGAAGGGGCACATTTTGAAAATTAGATCGAGTGTGTATCCTTGTTCCTCCCTATCCCCACCACTTTCACACGTTGTTTCTGATAACTTCTCCATTTATTCATACACAAAAATAGCTGATTAAGGAATGTATAAATTAGCCTTGCTGTTCATTTGTACCCCAATCGCCCTATAGACAAGTAAGGCATAAAACTTTAATACTTCATCCCCCTTCTACTTTCCTTTTTCTCCCTCTTACACCTGTAGTTTAACTATTTTTGGAAATGGCTGTTACACTAAGTAGTGTAATAAGAAAAGCATATGATTGTCTTTGAATTGAAAAAGCTCTTGCCCTGAGATAGTCTTAAAACCTTAAACCAAAAATGTCCCCTGAAGTCTTCTTGGCCAAACAGGAGTTTAGCTTAACTAAAAGCTAAAAAACGTCTGCCTGAGAATCATCCTCTTTGAAGAATTATTTATATGGGTTCAGATGCACAACAGCAACTGAAAAGATGAATTAGGAACCTTATAGGGCAATGAGCTTGTTAATGAGGAGGAACAACTCAGAAAAAGAGGGTGAAAATGGTTGCAAAACTTGAAGAATGTTGTACATGTAGAAATCGTTGAATTGGGTATGTATTTTGCTGTGTATATTCTCAATAGCATGAAAAAATTTAAAGAAAAAAAATTTGAAAGAGCCCTTTGTATTTGTACAGGTCTTTACAGTTACTGACTTTTTGGGTATTTTTTCACTGCTAAAGTCATTGAAAAAACACTAATTCATACAATTGAGCTTATACATATATATGTATACATACACACAGTTATATAAAACTTTAGTATGGCTATAACCTTCATCTGAGTGATTCTTTATAGTCAGATCTATTTAGTATTTGTAAATACTAAGATTTTATTTGTAAGTAAAATATAAATGGTTTGTGTTTTCTTGAAGGCAGTACAAGTTATTGGAAGTTATGATGGAGGAAACAGTGATGAACTCAGAAATGGAAAAATGAAGGCATTTCTCTCATTAGCACGTTTCTCAGATACTCAGTACCAGAGAATTGAAAATTACATGAAATCATCAGAATTTGAAAACAAGCAGGCTCTTCTGAAAAGGGCCAAAGAGGAAGTAGGCCTCCTTAGGGAACATAAAATTCAAACCAACAGGTAACTAAGTGTCTAAAAGGGACAATTTTTTATGTTCACCAGTTAACGGAGTGTATATGTATGGGAGTTGACTTACAGTTTAGATTAGTAAACCTTGGCATGAGTATATGCATTGCCTTAGCTGTACAATGCCTAATCAAAACTACTATCAGTAAGACTTTGACCTGTGCTGTTTTCTGAAAAATTTATGCCCTGGTTCTAAATTCATTGTAGAATATATAGATGTTAGCTTTGGGGTTTTGTTTGTTTTGGTTTATTAATTGCTATCAGAGTTCAAAAGAGATGTTGAAATTAAATACAGAAAAATTAACTATTTTGATGTGATTGATCTCTCTATTCAAACCTTCCTTTGGTCTGTATTTTTAATGTAAGTAGAGAGAAAGTTAACTAAATAGTTTGATTAGAGTCCACTTTGTCCTGATTCACCAGGATAGCTTATGAATTGGACAATAAAGGCAAAAGTAAATTTGTTGCCTGTATAATCTCTTAGAGCTTCCTTTTCCTCCTGAGGTGGGCACAGGGGTGGATTACCCAATAAGCAAGGTAAGCAAAGTAACAATTATTCACTGTAGATTAGTAAATAAGCACAAGTAAGCATATGCTTACCTTGCTTATTGGGTACTCTGTCCCTGTCAAGGAGTGTAAATTTGAAAAGAGGCTTTGATTCTGCAGGAAAGTCCTGTGGGCTTGGCAGAGAGACAAATGCCAGCCATACCTAGAAGCAGAAGCTTTGATATGGTGAAAAAATGTGAAATTGTTCACCACAGATTAGTAAGTGAGCATAAGTAAGTCGTGCTTACCTTGCTCATTGGGTAATCCAGTATTGGGTAGACATCTGAATTTTCTTTTATGTTGTATATCATATGTGATTTTGTTATTCTATAAAATTTGATGGGTTTTGTGTTTAATTATCCATTGCAAGATACACAGTAAAAGTTCAGCGAGAGCTGGAGCTTGATGAATGTGCACTCCATGCACTGAAAGAGGATCGTAAACGTTTCTTGTGTAAAGCAGTTGAAAATTACATCAGCTGCTTATTAAGTGGAGAGGAGCATGATATGTGGGTATTCCGACTTTGTTCCCTCTGGCTTGAAAATGCTGGCGTTTCTGAAGTCAATGCCATGATGAAGGCAAGTCTTTTTATTCAACTCAATATTCTAAACTTTACTTTAAAAGATTAAACTTAAGCCCATCAATGTCAGGAATCAACTGTATGGCAGATGGTTAGCTGATTATATTACTAGCATTTTAATGGGTACTTGATAAGCTCCAATTATGCAGGCTTTTTGAAAGTGAGAAAATTTAAGTCTTTCTCATCCTGTTTCTTTGTTATTACCATAGGAAGTGCCCAGAATGCTAAAATAGGGGAAGTAGAAAGCAGTTAAAGATACTGTGATCACTGGTGTCTCCCCCACCCCCTTTTGCTTTTCTGGAATTTTTACAATGAATTGCTTTTACAAATGGAAAAAATATTTTTAAAGAAAATGTCAAGAGAGCAGAATTTCATAAATATTTGTTTGAAAATTTATTTTAGTGACAATTTACCAGTTGCCATTGATTCCAACTTATGGCAACCCTATGTGTCCAAGCAGAATTGTGCTCCCTAGGTTTTTAATGGCTATTTCTTTGGAAGTATACCACCAGGCCTTTCTTTCAAGGCATCTCTAAGTGGGCTTGAACCTCTAACTTTTCAGCTAGCAGCCAAGTAGTTAAAATAATTGGTTTGTGTTAACCTTTAGCACCACCCAGGAACTCCAGTCCAAGGATGTCCAGTGAAAATGCCTACTGTTAAAATTATGTTTATATAATATACATTGTCAGTCAGTTTCAAGCTGAAAAGTAAAATGGTTCTCCTGAATGAAAATAATTATTAGACTCAAAAAAGGTATAACCAATCTTTGCTTGTAATGCACACTAAATCCTGTTACTTTTGGCATATAGGGAAAAAGTACTGTTTCCATTTTACTGTTCACTGGCTTCTCAGGAGTCAAGATGACAGTAGTCCTCAGATCAGTATTTTACTTCCTTGAATTCATTGGCATACAAGCAGTGGCAAGTTTCCAGCTGTTCTGAATACAGTTTAACTTAGGACCAAATACTTTGACATGCCAGTGAACCAATCTAGAATGCACATCAAAAGGGCTTTCAGATAGGAAAAGTGAAAAAAATACAGTTGGTGAAATTTTATGAACAACCACTAGACAGTTGTGCTAGTAGTAGAATTATCTTAGAACAGTTTGCTTGGATGTGAGGATATTTGAAATTCGTTCTTTCTTAACTTTTTTTTTTTTTTAATGGTAGAGAGTTGGAATGAAGATTCCGTCATATAAATTTTTGCCTCTTATGTATCAGTTAGCTGCTAGAATGGGAACCAAGATGATGGGCGGCCTAGGATTTCATGAAGTCCTCAACAATGTAAGCATACTTGAAGATGAAAACAATTACTTTTCTATTACTATCTATAGTATGGGAGCTCTGGTAGCGTAGTGCCTAAGGCACTTGACTGCTAACCAGAAGGCTGGCAGTTCAAACCCACCAGCCACTCCTCGGAAGGAA